TTAATCTCCAGGGAGTTCTGTTCTCGTGCATATCCAGGGAACTCTGTTCTGGTGCATATCCAGGGAACTCTGTTCTGGTGCATGTCCAGGGAACTCTGTTCTGGTGCATGTCCAGGGAACTCTGTTCTGGTGCATGTCCAGGAAACTCTGTTCTGGTGCATGTCCAGGAAACTCTGTTCTGGTGCATGTCCAGGGAACTCTGTTCTCGTGCATGTCCAGGGAACTCTGTTCTCGTGCATCTTCCGTGATACGGATTGAATGTAGCCCTAAAGTACGGTACATTTTATTTGCTCAGAAAAAAACCCCAGACTACTTGCATTACAATTTAGGATACAGGTAATCTATTATATCTTCCTCTATAGACTCTTGGCCCAGCACTACAGCCCCATGAACTGCATATTGAGGTCTGTCAGTTCCGTTTATTCATCACAAGATGGCGCTACTGATCAGCAAGCATGGCGAAAACTCAACATACACCTCTCTCATCACTTTCATCTACTGTGCTTCACTCTTGGTTCACGCCCGTACTGATGGGTCATGCCTTTGATGGCCGCACCGAGTTGCCATCTCCCTTCTGATACCAATGGGGCGAATTCTGCGTGTGCTGAGGTCACTACAATAGTCTTTAACAGTCCTGCTACAGTGTGGTCAGATGAAATTAGGAATGATCTCATAATCCATTCGTTTTTGTTCATTGAGCTCTAGTACTTTAATAAGTCTAGAAATAAAATCACACACAGGTAAAACATGTAGGCATAATCAACCCATGCTTTTATTTCATCTGTTGCATATAAAACGTTTTTTTACTTAGTTTTTTGGCAATCTGAAGACTAAAGAACAAATAAATCATCATTTAAAAAGACAATAATTAATAATAATTGCCACCATCAGGTTTGGTCCAAGGCTGTTAAAATCTACAGTATGTGTCAGAGAGGTGACTATTTCTAGAGAGACGCTGCAATGACACTCTGCATCTCCATCTGGGTCATATTCATTGTGGATCATCAACAGGAACCATAGAAATACAACTAGAAACGTATACAAAGGACCCACGTCTCTCAACTGGAATTGAGAGCCATGTCCCCTCTGAACATTACATTTATATATGCAAGGTTCATCGTGCTATACCTCAGGTGTGCAGCTGCGGAAATATAGTTATTCTTCAGTCAGCCAAAGCATCCGGCTATTGCTTTTTCCTAAGAGTATCCTTAGCTAAATGTGTTTGTATTGCTTTTTTTCCTAAGAGTAGACTTAGCTAGATGTTTGTATTGCGTTTGACTGCGTTGAATACTGTGTGTAGATGCAGGGAGGTGTGGGTTTCATGACTACAGGAGTGTTTCTACATACCCAGCCTGGAAACTGCAGCCACAGATTAACAAAGGAGAATGAATGTCTTAGCCCTTTCTACAGTAGATGTCAGCACAGAGACCATGTATAGGTTGAAATGCCCTGCACTAAAATGTATGTCTCTCTAAAGCAATGCGTACTCACACACGCAACCATGTACAGTCGTAGACACACACACACACACACACACACACACACACACACACACACACACACACGCAGCCCTGGGGCCTAATACCAGTTGTGTTTAGTTTTTTTCCTCCCTTCTCCTGGGTCGTATTCATTAGTGCACATCGTAGCAAAACGTTTTGAAACGTAAAACGAAAACAAATCTTTCTTATTGGAAAAGTTCAGGTAGTCCCTCCCTGTTTCAGTCAGTTTTCTTCCGTTTGGTGCCTAGTGAATACAACCCTGGTATAGTTAGGCTCACTCCCCTGGTGCCCCCATGAAAAAGCTCTGAGGTGACGTTTCATTTAATTTCATTCACTTTTATCATTTTTGTACAGAAGAGATTTATACATTGGGTAAGTATGGATCATAATAAACATTCTCTCAACAAGAGGTTTTCCAAATACACCAACACCATCAGATGATAGAGTAAGAATCCGTCATTTACAGAATGCAACACTACAATAAGCTTAATAAATACATGGTTGTAAACAGAGACAAACAAGAAAAATCCATTAACAGGTAAGGTCGTCCGGTGAGGCAAGCAAAAAACACAACCAAAAGATGGCACAAGAAATGAAATTGTAAAGAAATATACCATTACCCAATAATAAAATGTTAACATTTTTACTTTAAAATCCAGATTCAAGTCTTTTCAATGTGGACATGTTTCCTTTTTTCCCCCCCATGTCTGACATAAGTGTTGATTCCAAGCATAGAAATATAATGGCTATAGATTGACTATTTTAGTCATTCTATTTCTATGGTTCTAAGTACATCGTATCACCAGAGCAGGAACAAAGGGGGCATCATGTCATTACGCTACAGGTTGTGTGTTCTACAGTGCTGTCTTACTTAGGATTGCCAAACTGTAACAAAAACAAAACATCCATGGCAACACCATTAACCACCTGCGTCTATATAATGCATTCATAGAGCCTTCTTTCACACCCATAATGGACTATAAGAATGGGCTTTTCCTGGTTAAATAAAGGTTAAATAAAACATTTATTTATAAGAATTCATAACAGCTCATAACTCCTTAAATAGCCTTTATGAGACTTCATAATGCATTACTACATGTGACTCAAAGACAGTGTTACCAAATCAATAAATATAAATAAAGAAATATACAAAATCAACACAGAAACCACTTGACTTAATGGTGTGTGCTGCATTGTGCAAGTCCAGCAGGGGAGGAGGAGGAGAAGAAGTAGTAGTAGTTTTGGCAAAAATAAAAAAGCTATATAGGGGTTGAAATGACGTCATCCATATCTAGTCCTCCCCCTGAAAATGACAAATATATTGCAATATGAAATCTAAAACATAAAGCATCTGCAATTACTGTGCTACTACTTCAATTTAGTGGAATTCTTTCCAAATACCATGGATTATATGGGATTGTGTCCTCATATGAGGCATGACATGTATGGAAGAGTCTGTTAATGGTTTTGATGCTAGCAGTACAGCTATATACATATACACACATACCTATGAAGTATTCAAATATGAAAGGTAGATTTTTAAACTATGCAGGTGATAGTCAATGTCCAATGTGAAATCCCAATAAGAGAAAATTATTATAATAATGAAAAAGAACAAAGGCAAATATTGTCAAAGTGTTTGTCATTCTAGTAATCCAGACATTTGAAATAGGCAGATTGTAAAGACGTGGGATGATGATTCAGTACAACATAAAGGGCCAGATGCAGATAGCCTTAGCCAATGCAATACAAGCAGGTTTACATGTGTTGGAACACTTTAGAATACAGTCACTATTTTCATTTGACAAATATTTTTTGCAATATTTCTAATTTTGCAATACGTATAGAGTGTACGTGAATACACCCTTGTTATTTGTTTTGTGTAAAACAACATCAGTTCCATCAATAGCTCACGTCCCTTTGTACTTCAGATGAATTCAGTTTTGAAATGATGAAACCCAGAAGATATGAATGTGTGACTATATGCTAAAGTGTTACAGATATCACTGATAACTTTGAGTGTTTATGGAAGCTAAGTGAAGGTCAATGGGGTTATTCATAATCCTTAACAGCTGAGAAAAATGTACCACCTATTTCAAAACAGATTTAACAATTTGTAGATAGACTGGACAGTCTATTTGGACAGTCTATTTGGACAGTCTATTTGGACAGTCTTTTTGGACAGTCTATTTGTTTGGATAGAACTAAATCGCTACATGCCTCATACTCAGGATGTTAACAAGACCTACCATGTCATATTTACTGTAAATGGAAACATGGCCTACGTATATTTTATATATTATTATTATTATTATTATGTTCTTAAAGGTCAGTAGTTACTGGCTTCTTTCTGTTTTAAAAAAAGAAAAAGAGTTGGTACATTTAAAGCTGCAGTAAAGTTACATGAAGATCCCCAACAGTCTCAAACAGAAAACCACACATGTTCATATAAGTTGCCCCTATCTGAAATAGCTGGGTGTGAAGATAAAGCAGATTGATTGCAGAGAGCTTTAGTCACATCCACTCAGCACACATTCCCAGAAAGACCACACCTATTATGTTATGATGTAACATATATCTTCTAAAAATCAAGTTTCAATGGTTGCAATAGATGACGAAGAAGATTTTAAATTGAACATCTTCCTCCACTTTTTTTTTCTCTCTCTCTCTCTCTCTCTCTCTCTCTCTCTCTCTCTCTCTCTCTCTCTCTCTCTCTCTCTCTCACTCTCCATTAACAAAAGTTATCTACAAAAAGATTTCAGTTTTACTACAATACAAAAACTGAGGTCAAAAACAGCGTTTTCTACCAGTCTGGTTTCAAGGAAGACTTGAACTTTAGAAAAAAAGGTCTCTTTGAAATCCTCTCGCAAAGTATTTATTTGTCTGTCTCTCCCTATAATATCCCTCATTGGTTTTTCAGATGGTATTAGTGGACTGGGGTGACCTTGCAGTCCAGGGGTCACCTTGCAATCCATCTATCCCCCCTCTGGCTGTCCTCCCATGATGCTACAGTTGGGACTGTTCCAAGCATCTTGTGTGTTGCCCATGTGCTCAGTCTGGGAGTCAAAGAACACTTCCTGTTTACTTCCTGCATTTACAGGAAGTGGGAGGAGCTAGAGGAGAGGCAGGAGGATGAGGTTGGCCTTTTGAACTCAAGGCCACCAGGTGTCACCTCGCTCCCGATAGGCCAAATGAACCAGAAGATAAACGAAAAAAGAGGCAAGAAAGTCGACTAAAATATTCCTGAGTGCAAAAGTGTGGAGCTCCAAGGGAGGAAGTCTTGGGGGGAGGGGAGGTGGGGGGTCTGTGCCCCCATATCGCCTCCAGGTGGAGTGGAGTGAGGAGAAGACTGGGATTGAGGAGTGCAACGTGTGCTTTGGAACTCCCGATGATGCCATATCACCAACATTGTGGCGATTACTAGTATTCACCTCGTCCCTTGAGTCACCGTCGTAACGCAACAGTCTCTCTCTCGCAGTTTGGCAACCAGCGCAGTTTCTGCTATGTATCCTCCCCTTCCTCCTCTCCCTCCTCATCCTCCTCCTCCAACTCCGCCATACTTGGTTCCCTGCGTAACCCTTCACCCTCCTCCTCCTCCTCCTCTACCACCACCACCTCCTCCTCCACCTCCTCTTCCGGCTGCTCGTCCAACGGGATCTCCGTGGATTCCGAGTCCTGCGTGCAGAGCGTTTTCGAGTTACAGCTATTCTCCTCCTCTTCTGGTTGACTCCCACTGTCTTTCTCCGTGTCCGACTCACCGTCCTCTTCCAGGGTGAGCTCGAACTGGAACTTGTCCCCTCCGGGGGGACGTCCGCTGCCGTCATCGGGTTCGTCCGGGGCGGGCGAGGGGCTCTGGGGAATGGTGCTTTGGTACCACTCCCTGTTGTCCTCCAGAGTGTCCAGAATGTCCTGAGCGTCAGGGTGCACCAGATCAGCCCATGTCTCCCACAGAGGGTGGACGATGTAGTCAATGAACCCCACCTGGAGAGGGGTATGAGGAAGGAGAGGGGAGAGGGAAATTAATATCAGCTTGTTGTGCTTAAATAACTTGTCTGGACCGATATTAACTTACTTTTTGTTGTGTGTGTGTTTTTTTGGTTTTACTATCCTTGTGGGGACCAGAAGTCCTGACAAGGACAGTAAAACAAGGAAAATTCAGACAAGCGGGGACATTTCGCCGGTCCCCACAAAGAAAAAGGCTATTTTAGGCTTAGCGGTTAGGTTTAGGGTCAGGGTTACAATTAGGGTTAGGTTTAGGCTTAGAGTTAGGGGTTTGGGGTTAAGGATTTTCAATTGGAATCAATTGTTTGGTCCCCACAAGAATAGTAAAACACGTGTGTGTGTGTCTACTCTATTGTATGTGTGTTTGTGCTTGTGTGTGTGTGTGTGTGTATATACTGTTTGTGTGTACTGTATTTACCTGGCTCTTCTGTACAGAGGCGTTGTGTTTGTCACACATAGGGCTGATCTCCATGCCTCTCTCCCTCTCCCTGTCCCCCTGGCTGAAGAACTCTTCCATAATGCGGTCCGTCCACTGGCGGTACAGCTGCAGGGGCTTGGTAGGGTTGCTGAGATCCGCACAATGCACCATGTTCTGGAGGACCTGAGAGTGGGTGAAGAGCGAATTAGAATTTAAAACCCCAGTCCTCACATATATACTGAACAAAAATATAAACGCAACATGTAGTTGGTCCAATGTTTCATGAGCTGAAATAAACGATTCCAGAAATGTTCCATACGCACAAAAAGCTTATTTCTCTCAAATTTTGTGCACAAATTTGTATACATCCCTGTTAGTGAGCATTTCTCCTTTGCCATGATAATTCATCCACCTGACAGGTGTGGCATATCAACAAGCTGATTAAACAGCATGATAATTACACAGGTGCACCTTGTGCTGGGGACAATAAAAGGCCACTCTAAAATGTGCAGTTTTGTCACAACACAATGCCACAGATGTTTCACGTTTTGAGGGAGTGTGCAATTGGCATGCTGACTGCAGGAATGTCCACCAGAGCTGTTGCCAGATAATTGAATGTTCATTTCTCTACCATAAGCCGCCTCCAACATCATTTAAGAGAATTTGGCTGTACGTCCAACCGGCCTCACAACTGCAGACCACGTGTAACCACGCCAGCCCAGGACCTCCACATCAGGCTTCTTCACCTGCGGTATCGTCTGAAACCAGCCACCCGGACAGCTGATGAAACTGTGGGTTTGCACAACCGAAGAATTTCTGCACAAACTATCAGAAACCATTTCTGGGAAGCTCATCTGCGTGCTCGTCATCCTCACCGGGGTCTTGACCTGACTGCAGTTCGGTGTTGTAACTGACTTCAGTGAGCAAATGCTCACTATCGATGGCCACTGTCACGGATGAATCCGGGTTTCAACTGTACCGGGCAGATGGCAGACAGCGTGTATGGCGTTGTGTGGGTGAGCAGTATGCTGATGTCAACGTTGTGAACAGAGTGCCCCATGGTGGCGGTGGGGTTATGGAATGGGCAGGCATAAGCTACGGACAACAAACACAATTGCATGTTATCGATGGCAATTTGAATGCACAGAGATGCCGTGACAAGATCCTGAGGCCCATTGTCATGCCATTCATCCGCCGGCATCATCTCATGTTTCAGCATGATAATGCACAGCCCCATGTTGCAAGGATTTGTACACAATTCCTGGAAGCTGAAAATGTCCCAGTTCTTCCATGGCCTGCATACTCACCAGACATGTCACCCATTGAGCATGTTTGGGATGTTCTGGATCGACGTGTACGACAGCGTGTTCCAGTTCCCGCCAATATCCAGCAACTTCGCACAGCCATTGAAGAGGAGTGGGACAACATTTCCCAGGCCACAATCAACAGCCTGGTCAACTCTATGCGAAGTAGATGTGTTGTGCTGCATGAGGCAAATGGTGGTCACACCAGATACTGACTGGTTTTCTAATCCACGTCCGTACTTTATTTTTTAAGGTATCTGTAATCAACAGATGAATATCTGTATTCCCAGTCATGTGAAATCCATAGATAAGGGCCTAATGAATCTTTGAAATTGTTGCATGTTGCGTTTATATTTTTGTTCAGTGTATATACACCTGCAAAAGAAGCAACAGTTAAAAGTTAAACTGCAAACCTCTGGCATCATACTGCACATAAAACATTCTGGAGAGAGAGCACTGGCGTTTCCCTCTGCCCCATGGCAACAACGCCATTGAGAAAGAGAGAAATAGATAAAGAGATGGAGGGAGGGAGACGATGAGAGGGTCAGGTAAAGATGTATTTTTGTGGTAACTAAAAATATTTCTTTTTAGAGTCAGTATACAACCTGACCGTGACATTACAAAAAGAAGACGTTGTTGCAATCAGTTTTGCCTGCAGGGTGGCTATATACAGTGGGGGAAAAAAGTATTTAGTCAGCCACCAATTGTGCAAATTCTCCCACTTAAAAAGATGAGAGAGGCCTGTCATTTTCATCATAGGTACACGTCAACTATGACAGACAAAATGAGATTATTTTTTACAGAAAATCACATTGTAGGATTTTTAATGAATTTATTTGCAAATGATGGTGGAAAATAAGTATTTGGTCAATAACAAAAGTTTCTCAATACTTTGTTATATACCCTTTGTTGGCAATGACACAGGTCAAACGTTTCCTGTAAGTCTTCACAAGGTTTTCACACACTGTTGCTGGTATTTTGGCCCATTCCTCCATGCAGATCTCCTCTAGAGCAGTGATGTTTTGGGGCTGTCGCTGGGCAACACGGACTTTCAACTCCCTCCAAAGATGTTCTATGGGGTTGAGATCTGGAGACTGGCTAGGCCACTCCAGGACCTTGAAATGCTTCTTACGAAGCCACTCCTTCGTTGCCCGGGCGGTGTGTTTGGGATCATTGTCATGCTGAAAGACCCAGCCACGTTTCATCTTCAATGCCCTTGCTGATGGAAGGAGGTTTTCACTCAAAATCTCACGATACATGGCCCCATTCATTCTTTCCTTAACACGGATCAGTCGTCCTGGTCCCTTTGCAGAAAAACAGCCCCAAAGCATGATGCTTCCACCCCCATGCTTCACAGTAGGTATGGTGTTCTTTGGATGCAACTCAGCATTCTTTGTCCTCCAAACACGACGAGTTGAGTTTTTACCAAAAAGTTATATTTTGGTTTCATCTGACCATATGACATTCTCCCAATCCTCTTCTGGATCATCCAAATGCACTCTAGCAAACTTCAGACGGGCCTGGACATGTACTGGCTTAAGCAGGGGGACACGTCTGGCACTGCAGGATTTGAGTCCCTGGCGGCGTAGTGTGTTACTGATGGTAGGCTTTGTTACTTTGGTCCCAGCTCTCTGCAGGTCATTCACTAGGTCCCCCCGTGTGGTTCTGGGATTTTTGCTCACCGTTCTTGTGATCATTTTGACCCCACGGGGTGAGATCTTGCGTGGAGCCCCAGATCGAGGGAGATTATCAGTGGTCTTGTATGTCTTCCATTTCCTAATAATTGCTCCCACAGTTGATTTCTTCAAACCAAGCTGCTTACCTATTGCAGATTCAGTCTTCCCAGCCTGGTGCAGGTCTACAATTTTGTTTCTGGTGTCCTTTGACAGCTCTTTGGTCTTGGCCATAGTGGAGTTTGGAGTGTGGCTGTTTGAGGTTGTGGACAGGTGTCTTTTATACTGATAACCAGTTCAAACAGGTGCCATTAATACAGGTAATGAGTGGAGGACAGAGGAGCCTCTTAAAGAAGAAGTTACAGGTCTGTGAGAGCCAGAATTCTTGCTTGTTTGTAGGTCACCAAATACTTATTTTCCACCATAATTAGCAAATAAATTCATTAAAAATCCTACAATGTGATTTTCTGGAGAAAAAAATTCTCAATTTGTCTGTCATAGTTGACGTGTACCTATGATGAAAATTACAGGCCTCTCTCATCTTTTAAGTGGGAGAACATGCACAATTGGTGGCTGACTAAATACTTTTTTCCCCCACTGTATGTAGTAGCAGTTGCAGCCTACCTGTATTCTGTCGTTGTAGTTATCTAGTAGCAGCACTCCAGAGCTGGTGACTTTCTTGGTCTCCACCATGGTCTTCAGGTCAGCCAGGAGATTCATGTGCTTGGACATGTCAGTAGCTAGTACCTACAGAGACAAACAGTAATCTCACGTTGGATCAGTTCAATTGGGTGCTAGGCTGGAACTCACACACTCACTCATTAGATAATTCATTAATTCATTAATCGATTCACTTGCTAAGTTAATCCATCCATCTATTTATTCAACCACCCATCCACCAATCCATCTATCCATCCACTCACCATGTCTATGACCATCTTCCTGAGGGACTGCCGTTGTTTCTTGGTCAGGTTCTGGAAGATGTCACAGTTCTCTTCCTGAAGCAGCTTGAAGCCAACAGCCAGGTGGTGGTTCTCCAGGACTGACGAGTCGTTGTACATGAGGGCCAGCTCCGAGTCTGGAGGGAAACAAACAGACAATACCAGCACATGGTTAGGAAGCTGTTTCTCTGACGACATTTGTAATATTATAGTAAGATACTTTTCCAAGGTAATATTTATTAGGTATTTATATAGAAGCATGTACATTTTGGCGAGTGTGTGTAGATTTGATCTGGTATTTCTCTTTCTACACGTTGCACATTGAATAAAGTGAATCATGTGAATAAAGTGAATAATGTAGCCAAACAAATGGCTGCTTTCCAAAAAGTTGTTTTTGTGTGTTATTGGGACAGAATGAACCCTCCTACTATAGCTCATCACAATGCCTACTGCTCCTCTGGCTAATCACAAGTCAAATATATATTTATCTCCATCACACGGACGTACGTGTAACAGTGTTGGTTGTGTTGAGCATGAAAAACCCAGCAGCATTGCAGTTCTTGACACAAACTGGTGTGCCTGGCACCTACTACCATACCCCGTTCAAAGGCACTTCAATGTTTTGTCTTGCCCATTCACCCTCTGAATGGCACACATACACAATCCATGTCTCAATTGTCTCAAGGTTTAAAAATCCTTCTTTAACCTGTCTCCTCTCCTTCATCTACACTGATTGAAGTGGATTTAACAAGTGACATCAATAAGGGATCATAGCTTTCACCTGGATTCACCTGGTCAGTCTATATCACGGAAAGAGTGGTGTCCTTAATGTTTTGTACACTCAGTGTATGTGTACGGTACCTGTTAAATATTGGGGGCATCCTGGGATGTGGTTTTGTATGTTATTGCTGAAAGAGCGAGTTAGCTAGCATGCTCTAATTGTAATGGTTGCATTATCTCCCTGCTAATTCTGTTATTTCCATGCTACAGATGAATCTACAGCCATCAACATACTGTTGTCCTGCACATCTAATGTGCTTCCTTGTGTCTATCGTCAGAATAAACACCAATCAACTTGGATCGCTGGCTGGACAGTTAAAAAACAGAACGCAAGAGAGTTGCGAAGTACGATCACATCTGTTCCACTGGTGCCGAGACCAGTCTTCTTGTCTTCACTGGACAGCTGTTACACACACACACACACACACACGCACACAGACACACACACAGTCAAACACACACACACAGTCACACACACAGTCAAACACACACACACAGTCAAACACACACACACAGTCAAACACACACACACACACACAGTCAAACACACCCACGGCTTCCAAAGGGTGGGTCCAATTCATTTGTTGCCTTGGCGGCTGGGCTAATACATGTTATGTCATATGACGATTGTTTTACTGGGGAGGATTAAAATCAGTTCACTCTGCCTAGAGGACAGACAGTCCAATCCCAACATTGTATAATCTTATACTAAGAATTAGGTTTCAATAGGAATCCAATTACCCTTCATTCTATCTACAATACCATTTAGCTTGAATTGAGTTCATTTGTCTTGCAAGCCAACTATATTGTCATTGTCACGCCAAACGTGTTCATGTCAATGTTCATAGGAGTTGGCTATTCAGCACATACCGATCTGGGACCAGGCTTCATGGCAGAGAATTGTATGTATTCCATATATTCCATGTATTGTATGTATTGTATGTATTCCATGTATTCCATGTATTCCATGTATTCTATGTATTCCATGTATTCAATGTATTACATGTATTCCATGTATTCTATGTATTGCATGTATTCTACACTACCAGTCAAAAGTTTGAACACACCTACTCATTCAAGGGTTTTTCTTTATTTTTACTATTTTCTACATTGTAGAATAATAGTGAAGACATCAAAACTATGAAATAGCACATATGGAATCATGTAGTAACAAAAAAAGTGTTAAACAAATCAAAATATATTTTATATTTGAGATTCTTCAAATAGCCACCATTTGCCTTGATGACAGCTTTAAACACAAATTCCCACCGGTCTAATGTCCATTGCTCGTGTTTCTTGGCCCAAGCAAGTCTCTTCTTCTTATTGGTGTCGTTTAGTAGTGGTTTCTTTGCAGCAATTCGACCATGAAGGCCTGATTCACACAGTCTCCTCTGAACAGTTGATATTGAGATGTGTCTGTTACTTGAACTCTGTGAAGCATTTATTTGGGCTGCAATTTCTGAGGCTGGTAACTCTAATGAACGTATCCTCTGCAGCAGAGTTAACTCTGGGTCTTCCATTCCTGTGGCGGTCCTCATGAGAGCCAGTTTCATTATAGCGCTTGATGGTTTTTGCGACTGCACTTGAAGAACTTTCAAATTTCTTGAAATGTTCCTTATTGACTGACCTTCATGTCTTAAAGTAATGATGGACTGTTGTTTCTCTTTGCTTATTTGAGCTGTTCTTGCCATAATATTACATTACATTTACGTCATTTAGCAGACATGGACTTGGTCTTTTACCAAATAGGGCTATCTTCTGTATACCCCCCCTACCTTGTCACAACACAACTGATTGGCTGAAACGCATTAAGAAGGAAGGAAATTCCACAAATTAACTTTTAAGAAGGCACACCTGTTAAATTGAAATGTATTCCAGGTGAAGCTGGTTGAGAGAATGCCAATAGTGTGCAAAGCTGTCATCAAGGCAAAGGATGGCTATTTGAAGAATCTCAAATATAAAATATATTTTGATTTGTTTAACCCTATTTTGGTTACTACATGATTCCATATGTGTTATTTCATAGTTTAGATGTCTTCACTATTATTCTACAATGTAGAAAATAGTAAAAATAAAGAAAAACCCTTGAATGAGTAGGTGTGTCCAAACTTTTGACTGGTACTGTATGTATTGAATGTATTCTATGTATTGCATGCATTCTATGTATTCCATGTATTTCATGTATTCTATTTATTCCATGTATTCTATGTATTCCATGTATTCTATTTATTCCATGTATTCTATGTCTTCCATGTATTTCATGTATTCTATTTATTCCATGTATTCTATGTATTCCATGTATTTAATGTATTCTATTTATTCCATGTATTGCATGGATTCTATGTATTGCATGTATTCTGTGTATTCCATGTCACAGTACATTTTCCAACCTTCTTTATAAGATGGATTCATGACTGAGTAGCTTTGGGGCTGCTAACCCAGTCAGGGAGTGTCCGTCCGTCCGTCCGTCCACACACACACACACACACACACACACACACACACACACAGACTTGAAGTCTTGGAATGATAGAAGTCTCTGTCTCCTCTACAATGACCTCATGTAGAATCATAGCCTCCTATCTGCATGTCTACTGAGGGGGAATTCCCCGCAGTGAGATGGATCCAAGTGTGTGTGTGTGTGTGTGTGTGTGCGTCTGTCCGTCTGTCTTCTCTATATGTGTGCCAGTATGTTTGTGTGCGCACACGTGTGTGTGGGGGGGGGGATTAAAGTGAGTTTATGAAATACGCCATGTGTCGGCAGCAAACCCTTCTGCCACTCACTGTGTGTGTAAAATAATCAGTCAAACCCAGAAGAGAGAAGCCCATGTTAAAACAGCCATCGACATTAGCATTGTGATAAAGGAAACAGCACTGCATGGAAGGCAGAAAAGCTCATAACTGCACAGCATTGGAAAGGCCACTTACTGGTGCTGATGAGAAACTGGTTGGAGACCCCAGGGTGGTCGACGTCATGAATAGCACTGGCAAAGATTGCAGCTAGGATTTCCAGGTCTGTGAACACAGCCTATGAAGAAAAGAGGTGGAGTAATCTACATGTGCAGCACTTCAGGACAAAAAGGTACAATCTCACCGTATGTCAAAACCAGGGTCATGTTCAAAACGGAAGAAAACAGCTTGAAACAGAGAGGGACTACCTGGACCTGCCTAATAAGAAATAGCAATTTTTGTTATTGTTTTAAAACGTTTTCTATTGCCTGCCCTAATGAACACAACTAAGGTTACATTTAAAGCCAGTTTTAAACAAGACAAAATATAAAAACTAATATAATTAGTGTATGTTTAAAACTCACAATATTAACAAAACATAAGCCAAAAAGTAAAAAGACGGGGCCATATTAACAACACTGTATCAAATTCTCCCAACAAAGGTTCCCCCCATAAAGCGACGGAGATGGTACATTCCCCTACCTCTAGAGCAGGCGTGGACAGCAGCACGTGAGTGGACTGGGTGACATCAGCAGCATGGATGTTATTGTGATAGGCTACATCGCCGTGGTAATGGTCTTCTAGAGTCATCAGGTAGGTTATAAAGGTGTCTAATGGTATTTTGAATGTTTTTAATAAATCTCTTTCCTGAAAATGTGAGAAAAATGGGACACTGTCAAAACTGGAAGTTAGAATAACGGAGCAACTGACTGCTATTCACACATACATTCACGCACGCGCACACACATAGTTAGCTGTATATATTCCAGCAAGGTAAAACAACAGTTTCTATAAAGGTTTTTATATTTGTATAAACGTCCTCACCTGGAAAATTGTATACATCATGACTGTTAAAGGCCGGTTTCCTGAAAGCTCGGTGACTTTAAAAAGATTAAGGCCCCATTTATTGATGTCCTCAAGCTCCTGAAATCAGACACCAAGTCCATTTTAGACACACCACTTTCACCCAAACACATAATTAAGAGACAGTATACAGTATATATACACTGAACACAAATATAAACGCAACATGCAACAATTTCCAAGATTTACAGTTCATATAAGGAAATCAGTCAATTGAAATTAATTCATTAGGCCCTAATCTATGGATTTCACGACTGGGAATACAGATCTGCATCTGTTGGTCACAGATACCTTCAAAAAAAAAGTATGGGCGTGGATCAGAAAACTTGTCAGTATCTGGTGTGACCACCATTTGCCTCATGCAGCGTGACACATCTCCTTCACATAGAGTTGATCAGGCTGTTGATTGTGGCCTGTGGAATGTTGTCCCAGTCCTCTTCAATGGTTGTGCGAAGTTGCTGGATATTGGTGGGAACTGGAACACGCTGTCGTACACGTCGATCCAGAGCATTCCAAACATGCTCAATGGGTGACATGTCTGGTTAGTATGCAGGCCATGGGAGAACTGGGACATTTTCAGCTTCCAGCAATTGTGTACAGATCCTTGCAACATGGGGCCGTGCATTATCATGCTAAAACATGAGGTGATGGCGGCAGATGAATAGCACGACAATGGGCTTCATGATCTCGTCACGGTACCTCTGTGCATTCAAATTGCCATCGATAAAATTCAATTGTGTTCGTTGTCCATAACTTATGCCTGTCCATACCATAACCCCACCGCCACCATGGGGCACTCTGTTCACAACGTTGACATCAGCAAACCGCTCGCCCACACGACGCCATACATGTGGTCTGCAGTTGTGAGGCAGGTTGGAAGTACTGCCAAATTCTCTAAAACGATGTTGGAGGCGGCTTATGGTTGAGAAATTAACATTCAATTCTCTGGCAAGAGCTCCTGCAGTCAGCCTGCCAATTGCACGCTCCCTTAAAACTTGAGAATTCTGTGGCATTGTGTTCTGTGACAAAACTGTACATTTTAGAGTGGCCTTTTACTGTCCCCAGCACAAGGTGCACCTGTGTAATGATCATGCTGTTTAATCAGCTTGTTGATTTGCCACACCTGTCAGGTGGATGGATTATCTTGGCAAAGGAGAAATGCTCACTAACAGGGATCTAAACAAATTTGTGCACAACATTTTAGAGAAATACGTTTTTTGTGCATATGGAACATTTCTGGGATATTTTATTTCAGCTCATGAAACATGGGACCAACACATGTTGCGTTTATATTTGTGTTTAGTATACATAAACACACATTTTCCATAACTGAAATTATATCAGGCATAAGCTGGAATTCAATCAAAACGGCATTATATGTAAATCGGCACTGTCTGTCAGTTGTTAGACTGTTAGACCTCAGTTGTCAGACTGTTAGACCTCAGTTGTCAGACTGTTAGACCTCAGTTAGACCTACCAATCAGCAAACCACTGTGGTGTAACATTACATAGGTGACCCTTTAAGGCATCCTATTACCTGGATCTCAGTAGTATCAATGTAGTCCTCATCACTGTGTGGGACATCTATTACTGCCAACTTGATCAAATCAATTTCAGCCTAAATCCCGATCGGTGATGAGTGCTAGAAGTTTAATAAGCACTAGAACATGCTCTAGCTAGCTACAACGGTGAGGGACGGTCCTATCAACAAGGATCAGTGGGATAACACCTAGAATACAAATAGAATGGCATACGATGAAGAGGCCCGGGTCAGGCTGCTCTTCACCTTGGGAAAAGTCCAGATAAAAGCCCAGCCAAAAAATTATGTAGCTGTGTAGAGGTTAAGTGCCTTGCTCAAGGGCACAACAGCAGTATTTCCTAAGGTAATACCAGATAATTCATTTACTTTATTCTGTTAAACAGAAGCATGCCATGATGATCAGACCGATCCTGTTTAACCTTCCTGGAATACACTGACTGTAAGTCGCTCAAGCTGAGAGAAGCCAAGAGCGTCTGTTAAATGACTAAAATGTCAATATAAAGTCAAAATGCTCCTTCACCGTAGCCAGTTGGTCCTCTGTGTCGGTCTTGACCCCAAAGCGGGGTATATTAGAGTTGGAGAGGCTGGTGCTGTGCTGCAGCTTCTTCACCCCACTGATCTGACACATGGGCTTGGCATTCTTCTTGTCCGTCCTCTCCTTCTGCGTCTGTGGACATGGCATCTCCACGTCATGCTGCTTGTCTGGGGGGGGAGAGAAGAAGGAAATAGATATAGGAGCATTAGACAATACACAAAGTTTTTTTTTTTTTGGGGGGGGGGGCTATTTTGTGCTTTTAGGGCCAAATTAACATCACACTGTCTCCTAATCATGTATTTTTATTCTTTATGGATCCCCAGCTAAATTAAGGCAGTTATTTACAATAAATAAAAAACATGACATTACATTTCACAACAGAATTCACTACACATTAAGTGTGTGCCCTCAGGCCACTTCTCTACTACCACATATCTACAATACAAAATCCATGTGTACGTGTGTGTATTGTGCGTATGTTATCGTGTGTGTGTGTGTGTGTGTGTGTGTGTGTGTGTGTGTGTGTGTATGCGTGTGTCTGTGCCTGTGTGTGTCTCTTCACAGTCCCCACTGTTCCATAAGGTGTATTTGTATCTGTTTTTTAAATCTGATTTTACTGCTTGCATGAGTTACTTGATGTGGAATAGAGTTCCATGTAGTCATGGCTCTATGAAGTAACGTGCGCCTCCCATAGTCTGCCCTGGACTTCGGGATTGTGAAGAGACCTCTGGTGGCATGTCTTGTGGGGTATGCATGGGTGTCTGAGCTGTGTGCTAGTAGTTTAAACAGACAGCTCTGTGCATTCAACATGTCAATATTTCTTACAAATACAAGTAGTGATGAAGTCAATCTCTCCTCTACTTTGAGCCATGTGTGATGAGGTGATTTAAAAGGAGTCAGGCGCAGGAGGGTAAATCACAGAATAACAGGATTTATTCTGAACCACAGAGTTACGCAGAAATGCGTAAAAACACTCCAGTGCGCAAAACAGGCAAACTGGAAATTACAAGGCACACAGGGAATATTCCCGGCGATACAAAATACATGGAGCTCCACCGAGCTTCTCTCTCCTCCACAATAAACAATCACACACAAAGACAAGGGAGCAGAGGGAACACTTATACAGGTACTGATGAGGGTATATGAACCAGGTGTGTGTAATAAACAAGACAAAACAAATGGAATGATGAGATGAGGAGCGGCAGTGGCTAGAAGGCCGGTGACGATGAACACTGAAGCCTGCCCGAACAAAGAGAGGAGGCAGCCTCGGAGGAAGTCGTGACACCATGAGAGATTTACATGCATATTATTGATGTTAGCTCTCCGTGTACATTTAAGGGCCAGCAGTGCTGCCCTGTTCTGAGCCAATTGTAATTTTCCGAGGTCCCTCTCTGTAGCACCTGACCACACGATTGGACAGTAGTCCAGGTGCGACAAAACTAGGGCCTGTAGGACCTGCCTTGTTGATAGTGTTGTTAAGAAGGCAGAGCAACGCTTTACTATGCACAGACCTCTAGTGAGGTCAACTGGAGACTTGAGTAACGCACACTGATCTGAAGTTAGGATAGGCCCTTATTGACTATCCAACACACACATGCACGTCGCCCGTGGTAGCTTTTAATAAAACATCATTATTTTGAGGCTTTTTGGGGATTGGGAGTTTCAGTTTCAGGGGACATTTGTGGACTGAGTAATTGAGACTCTTTGCTTGTCTCTTGGAGACTGGGGACTATTTGGGGACCTTGGAGACGGGGGACTGTTTGGGGACCTTGGAGACTGAGGACTGCTTGGGAACCTTGGAGACTGGGGACTATTTGGGGACCTTGGAGACTGGGCACTATTTGGGGACCTTGGAGACTGGAGACTGTTTGGGGACCTTGGAGACTGGGGACTATTTGGGGACCTTGGAGACTGGGGACTATTTGGGGACCTTGGAGACTGGGGACTGTTTGGGGACCTTGGAGACTGGGGACTGTTTGGGGACCTTGGAGACTGGGGACTATTTGGGGACCTTGGAGACTGGGGACTATTTGGGGACCTTGGAGACTGGGGACTGTTTGGGGACCTTGGAGACTGGGGTCTGTTTGGGAACTTGGGGACCTTGGCGACTGGGGTCTGTTTGGGGACCTTGGAGACTGGGGACTGTTTGGGGACCTTGGAGACTGGGGACTGTTTGGGGACCTTGGAGACTGGGGACTGTTTGGGGATCTTGGAGACTGGGGACTGTTTGGGGACCTTGATGACTGGGGACTGTTTGGGGACCTTGGAGACTGGGGACTGTTTGGGGACCTTGGAGACTGGGGACTGTTTGGGGACCTTGGAGGATTGGTATTGTTGTTCTTGTTGTTCTTTCAGTTTATTTGTTTTGTAAATTGATTGTTTGTGCACCTGTTTGACATTTTACTGCATTGTCAGGAGCTAGTAACATAAGCATTTCGCTGCACCCGCTATAACATCTGCTAAACAGTGTACGCGACCAATAAACTTTGATTCGACTTGAACTTGTTGTTATAAGTACTGAAAATAACACAACAGCAAGGTCAGTCAGTCTTACCTAAGAAGGTGCTGGAGATGAACTCAGAGACCTGGTTCCCTGAGCGACTCATCTCAGACAGGTGAGACAGCTCCCTGTTCAACATCCTCTTGAACTGGACACAGACAGTGAGTGAGTGAGTGATTGAGAGAGAGAGAGAGAGAGAGAGAGAGAGAGAGAGAGAGAGAGAGAGAGAGAGAGAGAGAGAGGAGACGAGAGAGAGAAGAGAGAGACGAGGAGGAGAGAGAGAGAGATAGAGAGGAGAGGAAGAGAGAGAGAGAGAGAGAGAGGAGAGACGGAGCGAGAGAGAGAGAGAGAGGAGAGGGGAGGAGAGAGAGAGAGAGAGAGAGAGAGGAGAGGGAGAGAGAGAGAGAAAGTGTTACTCCTGTGTATACATAACATTGTGTACTATATAAATGGTACACAATAACAGACTTCACTGTTGCTTTTGATCTCAATGAGACTTGCTTAGATGGACTATGATTATATTTTATTTCTGTCATTATCGTATGTTCTTACCATGCATTATGAAGTTCAGGAACTTTCAGCAGACTCTCACAGATACTGTGAGTAACAACTGCAAACATAGTTTAGATAGTATGTCTGGTCTGATTTAAGGAGGAGGTTCTGCGCAATTATTATTTTTGCCTTATTTCACATACTATTCACAAAATGACTTGAGTGTGATACTTCTTTCATGTTTGAGCACAACAATTTCCATTTGACTTTGCGAGAGACAAGTAGGCAGCTCGTCCTCAACAACAAAACAGCTAAATATGTCAGTCTACCCACGGCACAGCATACATTTGCATAAACAAATCTATACAATATGGCTAACAAATTCTGACACAATGATTGAGGTGGAAATACGACTAGTTCCTGCACTAGTACTGCTTTCTCCAATCTCTCTTACTGTTCATACATCACAGATCATCACATCACATTATTTACCCTTTTGACATCAACGAAAATGTCTGCATTGATGAATAACACTGAATTAATAGACATAATCTAAAAGGCAGCCAGGATAATTTACAAGCTTTAACATAAGCTTGGCTATTTGGGTCGTGTTCATTACGGCACACGATGGAAAATATTTTGCAACGGAAAACGTAAATGACGGTTTCTTAATGGACCAGGTAGTTCAGGTAGTCTCTCCCTGTTTGTCTGTATTCTTCCATTTGGTGCCTAATAAACTCAGCCCTGAATTTTATTGAATTCAAAATCAGCATCATGGATAACATACCTTTATGTATCCCCTTGACACAGAACTTAAATAGTTTGCCTCCGGCATTTTCGACGCAGTCAATCAAATATAAAGAGTCCGAAAGATGGATAGATCCAAAACAAGTACACAAACGGTTTCCCTCAAATCCTCGTTATACAATCAATCATGACATCATCCATATGGTAGTGTCCCCAGGGCCTTGATGGCATAATCCACAAATTCTTCCCAGGCAAATAAAGGCAAATAATCCCAGGGGTTAGTAACAGGATTGGATACAGAAGGAGCAAGAGAGGAGTGTCCAAAAAAGACAAATAAATCAATATAATCTAGGCATGGCTATAAAATGTATTATAAAGTATTATCAATAACAGCGTCCATGTCACTGAAAAAGTCAAAGGAAGGCCCGAAAAACTGCCAAAGACTCCAGCCACCCAAGCCATAGACTGTTCACTCTGCTACCATCCGGCAAACGGTACCGGAGCATTGGCTCTCGGATCAACAGGCTTCGAGACAGCTTCTACCCCCAAGCCATTGGACTGCTAAATAGCCAGAATGCTAAATAGTCAATGAATGGTACCCAAACTATATGCATTGACTCAATCTTGCACTGACCCTACGCACCGTCACTAGACTATATATACAAACCATATACACACTCACTCACATACATTGACACTCCCACACAAAACCCATACACATTCACATACACTACATACACACACACACACGCAGACCGACACCACACAAACACACATACATCACATTACACACACTTTTACACTCATCATTTGCTGCTGCTATTCTGCGCTTTATGACAGCTTGCTACCCCCGCCTTGACTGCTAATATCAGAATGCTAATATCAAATACCCGAACCTCTGCAATTGATCATCTTGACTGTACCCTATAACGAACTGTCACTGGGACTCCCTATATACTGCACATATCTTACAACCTCCATTGCTCACATGACTGGTACTGGTACTCCCACCTGTATATAGCCCCACATTGATCTGGTACTGGTACACACCACACAGCAGCACATTGACACTGACAAACCACATAACTCACATTACTGGTAACTTTTACACCCTTTGCTGACTTGATCTGTTACGGTTTACTTCCTGAAATAGCTGAACATTGATCTTCCTGGTATTTCCCTGTATATAGCTGACATGATTTACAGGTACCTCCCTATATGTGCACATGATCTGGTCACTGGTACCCTGTATATACTGCACATTGATCTGGTACTGGAGTCTCCCTGTAATAGCTGCACATTGATCTGGTACTGGTACTACTCCCTGTATATAGCTCCACATTGATTGGTTACTGGTACTCCGCTGTATATTTTGCTGCACATTGATCTGGTACAGGTACTCCCTGTAATCTAGCTCCACCATTTGATATGGGTACAGGTACTCCCTTGATATAGCTGCACATTGAATCTGGTTACTGGTACTCCCTGTGTATAGCTCCACAGTGATCTGGTACAGGTTACTTCCCTGTATATAGCTCCATTCTTGTGTATTTTATTTTATTCCTCTCGTGTTACTATTTTATTTTTAATCTTTAAACTCTGCATTGTTAGGAAGGGCTCGTAAGCAAGCATTTCACTGTGAAGTCTACACCAGTTGTATTTGGCGCATGTGACAAATACAATTTGATTTGATTTGATTTACTACTACTATGTTTCACAATGTGTCAAAAGTGAGAAAAGTCTAGGACTCATCTAGCCCCTTACAGGAAGGGGAAGAGATCACTGAGTTGAAGTTGAAGATCAATGACGCACATCCTCTGAAACTATCAGAATCAACCCCTGTGGTTGTTGCTGAGGAGAGGAACAACTTTTACACTAGTGTGCAATACAGTAATTAAAATGTACTGTATATTCTCAGAAACCACTGTAAATAATGTTTACATACTGTTTTTACCCACTTTATATGTATATACTGTATTCCAGTCAATGTTCATCCTATATAACTACTGCTGTTCACACCTTTTCTATTGTCCATACTGTCTATATACACCATTATATACACTGAGTGTACAAAACTATAAGAACACCTTCCTAATATTGAGTTGCACCCCCTTTTGCCCTCAGAACAGACTCAATTCGTCGGGGCATGGACTCTACAAGGTGTCAAAAGCGTTCCATAGGGATACTGGACCATGTTGACGCCAATGTTGTGTCAGGTTGGCTGGATGTCCTTTTTTCTTTATTTTTACTATTTTCTACATTGTAGAATAATAGTGAAGACATCAAAACTATGAAATAACACATATGGAATCGTGTAGTAACCAAAACAGTGAAGAGGCGACTACGGGATGCTGACCTTCTAGGCAGAGTTGCAAAGAAAAAGCCATATCTCAGACTGGCCAATAAAAAGAAAAGATTAAGATGGGCAGTCTGAGATATGGCTTTTTCTTTGCAACTCTGCCTAGAAGGTCAGCATCCCGGAGTCGCCTCCTCACTGTTGACGTTGAGACTGGTGTTTTGTGGGTACTATTTAATGAAGCTGCCAGTTGAGGTGCCTGTTTCTCAAACTAGACACTAATGTATTTGTCCTCTTGCTCAGTTGTGCACTGGGGCCTCCCACTCCTCTTTCTATTCTGGTTAGAGCCAGTTTGCGCTGTTCTGTGAAGGGAGTAGTACACAGCGTTGTACGAGATCTTCCGTTTCTTGGCAATTTCTCGCATGAAATAGCCTTCATTTCTCAGAACAAAAATAGACTGACGAGTTTCAGAAGAAAGTTATTTGTTTCTGGCCATTTTGAGCCTGTAATCGAACCCACAATTGCTGATGCTCCAGATCCTCAACTAGTCTCAAGAAGGCCCGTTTTATTGCTTCTTTAATCAGCACAACAGTTTTCAGCTGTGCTAACATAATTGCAAAAGGGTTTTCTAATGATCAATTAGCCTTTTAAAATGATAAACTTGGATTAGCAAACACAACGTGCCATTGGAACACAGGATTGATGGTTGCTGATAATGGGCCTCTGTACGCCTATGTAGATATTCCATAAAAAATCAGCCGTTTCCAGCTACAATAGCCATTTACAACATTAACAGTGTCTACACAGGATTTCTGATCAATTTGATGTTTAAAAAATTGCTTTTCTTTCGCAAACAATGACATTTCTAAGTGACCCCAAACTTTTGAACTGTAATATATATATATACAGTTGAAGTCGGAAGTTTACATACACCTTAGCCAAATACATTTAAATTCTGTTTTTCACAATTCCTGACATTTAATCCTAGTAACAATTCCCTGTCTTAGGTCAGTTAGGATCACCACTTTATTTTAAGAATGTGAAATGTCAGAATAATAGTAGAGAGAATGATTTATTTCAGCTTTTATTTCTTTCATCACATTCTCAGTGGGTCAGACGTTTACATACACTCAATTAGTATTTGGTAGCATTGCCTTGAAATTGTTTAACTTGGGTCAAACGTTTCAGGTAGCCTTCCACAAGCTTCCCACAATAAGTTGTGTGAATTTTGGCCCATTCCTCCTGACAGAGCTGGTGTAACTGAGTCAGGTTTGTAGGCCTCCTTGCTCGCACACGCTTTTTCAGTTCTGCCCACACATTTTCTATAGGATTGAGGTCAGGGCTTTGTGATGGCCACTCCAATACCTTGACTTTGTTGTCCTTAAGCCATTTTGCCACAACTTTGGAAGTATGCTTGGGGTCATTGTCCATTTGGAAGACCCATTTGCAACCAAGCTTTAACTTCCTGACTGATGTCTTGAGATGTTGCTTCAATATATCCAAATAATTTTCCTTCCTCATGATGCCATCTATTTTGTGAAGTGCACCAATCCCTCCTGCAGCAAAGCACCCCCACAGCATGATGCTGCCACCCCAATGCTTCATGGTTGGGATGGTGTTCTTTGGCTTGCAAGCATTCCCCTTTTTCCTCCAAACATAACGATGGTCATTATGGCCAAACAGTTATATTTTTGTTTCATCAGACCAGAGGACATTTCTCCAATAAGTACGATCTTTGTCCCCATGTGCAGTTGCAAACCGTAGTCTGGCTTTTTTATGGCGGTTTTGGAGCAGTGGCTTCTTCCTTGCTGAGCGGCCTTTCAGGTTATGTCGATATAGGACTTGTTTTACTGTGGATATAGATACTTTTGTACCTGTTTCCTCCAGCATCTTCACAAGGTCCTTTGCTGTTGTTCTGGGATTGATTTGCACTTTTCGCACCAAGGTACGTTCATCTCTAGGAGACAGAAAGCGTCTCATTCCTGAGCGGTATGACGGCTGCGTGTTCCCATGGTGTTTATACT